ACAGAGGAAGTCAAGGTAGTTGTTGACCGTCACGTCGTAGACCAGGCCAGGATCCTGGGCGCGGTTTGGTCTGATGTGGCCCGACCCGTATGCAAATGGTGTGGCCTTTTCGTGACTAGAATCCGACAATGGCTTACCGGTGTTGTCACGAGTCCTCGCTGTTCATCACAATAGATTCAATCAAAAACTAACAGAGAAACAAAGTTTATTGTAGACGACACGGATAGAAAATGCAGAGATTTTTACCGGTTGTCATGATGGCGGATCTAATTGCGGCCGGGCTCCAATCGGGATACAATGTCTTGAGCAGGCCCACAACACCCGAAACATGGGGACAAGACATGGAGGTCCCAGACATCACAGTGAAAGGCGTCCTGCGGTGGTCAAAATCCAACTCCGACGGGCTTGTTCCCTCGGTATAAGAAGCTATTATGTCAACACCTGGAGCCGTGATATCAGGCTGGATAAAACCAAAACATTAGGGCAGAGTATTTATGAATTTTTTATCTTTTAACAAAAAAAAAAACACACAGTGATAAACCTTGAGGATTTCCGGGGTAATGGTGTTCGGTCCCCTGGACGAGAAGGCAGCCATAAAAGGTGCCGGTTTCGTATTCATCAGCACCTTTGGAGTCGTAATAACACCTTGTGGATACCTGATCAAAGCACAAATTTTGTCGATGTAAGTAAAGTAGTACATATAACGAAAGTATATGGAAGAACTGATGATGTCTGGCTACTCATGAATCACATACTTGGTACTAAGTAAATAAGCAACGAGATTACGGGCATCCTCATAACCAATGTGCGTGGCCGGTAGAAAATGTGGGTCAGATAGGATCTCATCTCCGGTAGACACGTCGTTGCAGAGAATCATCCCGACAGCGCCCGCACGTGCCGCCACCACACCCTTCTCAACTCGTCCGTTATCTCCTCTTAGGCAAACAACTATTTTGCCCCTCGCCTTTTTCGTGTCCAACGTATCTGGTTTGCAGAGATGACTGATACCGGTTTCGAAATAACAAACAACGTTAGCGTACATGTCAATTCAATGAAAAATCGAGGTAAAAAGAATCCTTACGCATCTGCTTCGGTTGCATTGGCAGCTTTAGCATCGGCCCCGCTAATAAGAGGGTAGAATTTGTTCTCCGGCAACGGTCTCGAAATGCTTCTACCCTGTTAGTATGACAGGTGCAAACACATCATCAAATGATAACACACTAGGTTAGGTTGTTCAATAATCAATATTATCAACATGGAATTTTGGATTACCTTAAGCACTCGGCCATTCGTCAATTTGAGGTCGGCATCAAACTCTCTGTCGAGTGTGCTTGCACCGACAGTTATGATCCACGGGGCCACATTCGACACAGTCCCGGGGTTGGGCCCGCTGTTCCCGGCAGATGCCACTACGGAGACTCCTCTCCGCACCGCGTGGAAGGAAGCAATGGCGATAGCGTCGCTGAAATAGTCGTTATCAGCCCCTCCGAGGGAGACCGACAGCACGTCCACCCCATCGTCGATGGCCACGTCGAAAGCCTTCATGGTGTCAGCATCATAGCAGTGGCCGCCGTCCCAGCACACCTTGTACACGGCAGCGCGTGCCCGGGGGGACCCGCCCTTGGAGGTACCGTTCCCGACACCAAACACGCTGGCCGAGGGGACAAAGCTCCCGGCAGCCGTCGAGAGGGTGTGAGTCCCGTGGCCCTCCAAGTCGCGCGCGTTTTGGAATGATGTGTTGAGGGGAGTCCCCAAGTCGGCTTCGAACCCCTTGTTGTAGTACCTGGCTCCGATCAGTTTTCTATTGCAAAGGTGTTGCTTATGGCCTTCGAACTGACAGATTCCTTTCCACTTGGAAGGAATGGGACCAATCCCATCGTCGCTAAAGCTCTTGGATTCAGGCCAGATACCTAATTGTTAGTTATTTAACAAGCCAGGTAAAAAAAAATTAAATTATACCTGAGAAGTAACAGTAGTTACAAAATTGATTTTAATTTTACCGGTGTCGAGTGTTGCGATGATGGTATCTTCGCCATATCGAGCTTTCTCCCAGAGGGAAGACGGACTAACAAAGCCATCCTTTTCGAGTCCAAGAAACTCCCATGAATGAGTTGTGTGCAGCTCTCTATCTTGGTTTTCTAGTACTGATACCACATTTGGATGTTCTACATTTATGTAACCAAAAGTTAATTAAAAATCATTATAAAATAAATCATAAACATGATTAAAAAGATTATATAAATAGTATTATGCTTGTGTATACGTACTAGCAATCTCAGCAGCTTCTTCTTCTTCAAGAAGTGCAGCAAAGCCATTTATATTCCTCTTGTATGAGTAGAACATCGAATCTCTAGCCTTCTGCTCACTGCATGATACGAGTCGAGCAACAAAATCAGACAAAGCACATTAATTTGCGATAGGTTTCTCGATGATTTTTATTATTTAAAAGAAAAATTGCAATTAGACCTTCCCAAGAATGAAGTGAGCAACTCGGTGTGCGAATCTTCCACACGCTGGTAATCAGCAGCAGTGACATCTGGACCGTGATTATGTGCCCCCAAGTAGACAATATATGACTGATGATCAAAGAATACATATGTAAGAGAATTATTAACAAATCAAACTTTTGGGAGATGCTACGGTCTGTTCCCCGATGGAATAGTTTCCTAACAAGACCGTAGCATTTAACGAGGAGCATGCATGCAGGACAATATAAATTGTACCTTTTTTAAGGCCAAAGCCGGTTCCTGGAACGCAACAACAAGGATCAACAACAGTGCAAGAAGTGACGAAAACTTTGAAAGAATCATGGCTGCCTGTGATTCTTTGCATATATTATTGTAATAATGATATGCTTTCAGAGATAGCTTTTACATGAATGAAGAAGCACTCGAATAGGAAAAGGCTGATATTTGTATGCAGTTTTGTAAGAGAATTCAATTAATAGCAGAATTATTCAAAATATGAGAGTCATGGAATAGAAAGAAGTCTATCAATCATGTAAAATTATTTTTTCCCAAGTTAGAGACTTGTTTGAATTCAATTACCTATAGACGTACTTAATTAGAGGGATTAGAATTCTAAATTAATGAGTTCAACTATTATATATATCGTGCAATATTCAATCATAATAATTTGATCTTCTTAAGCCCTAAATTTAGTACTTCAAAATTTACATTTTTTTTATCTACATCATATTTGATAGTACGCAACACAACTCTCACTTTTAGTATTAACTAGTAAGGTGCACGTGCGTTGCACGTGTACTGAATTTCATTTTTTAAATTGGTAACATATGTAGTTTGAAGTCGTAACATGTAGCAAAATTTGAAATTTTCCCTATAATTTAAATAGTTTATAAACAATTTGAATTCATAATTGTTTCTTAATTGGTTTTTAATCCCATATAATGAGTTGGGTTATACATATTAGTTTTTTTGCAAACATAAGTTTATAAAGTGATGGTAGTTGGTTTATTTTGGATTTTAATTTTTTGTTTATAAATAGATGGTAGTTGGGTTACGAAGGATTTGAATGTAGTTTGAGGTTGGAAAATTTTTTATTTTTTATTTTTTATTTGTTTATGTTAATTTTTGAAAATGTGCATATCATAATCAATGTAAGAAAAAAATGAAATAAAAAAGTAAAAGGTATGTAAGAATATGTAGAATAAGTATATTTGTCGTTGTATGTGCAGAAGAGAATGTTATTTTATGAGATGCATGACATTTAAGTAGGAAGTTAATTGAAATTAACATGAAGTTTAAAACTTTAAAGTCCTCAACTCACTAAAATACCCAAACAAACATCATAAGAACAATGGAAAAGGTTGAAGTGCTAAAATTCAAAATAAAATTATAAGATGTTGTTCAAAAGCAAAAATCGTTGAAGTAACAGAAGAAAGTTTATTAGAAGCATAAAATAGCAATAATAATGCTTTGAAATTATCTTCATGGCTTCTCCTTTTTTATTTCAACCAATTTCTTGGTTTTTGTGTTTTTTGAAGTCAACTTTTTCTTGACGTACTTCTTCTTCATTGTATGTAGAGTTTTTTCATCGCTTGAAATTTCTACTTTAGCTGAGGCATGGATTCTCTTCTTACCCTTTTCCAAAGGATAGTTAATCTTCTCGATTGCTTCAGTAACAACAATTAACTTTTTACCGTCCACCTTCGTTTTGCCATTTAATGGTATGAGAAACCTAAAGGTGGATGAAGTTTTAAAGGCGAGTTCTCGAAAAAAATTAGAGTTATTCTCTCCCTGGATGATTAAGTTGAATAAAAATGTTAGTTATAAACAAAATAAAATTAATATATGTAAAATTATGTATTGAATTTTGTTACCTCTTCAGTGGATTTTATGTATTCATGAACTGTGCAACCAATGAATGCAGTAGAGGTCTCCTCAAACATAGTTATGATTGCATTGTGGGATCCATGAACGACATTCAAAACAATCCTGAATCTACAATTAATAAAATAATGATAAATATGTAATATATCAAAAATTAATTAATAAAGTAAAGTATTTTTTATGCGTACCTAGGAATGGTATCGACATTTTCCTCTTTGCATTTGTTGCAATTTGTTGTGTTTTTGGTTTTATAAACCGAAGATGAACATTTTGTGCATGCATCGTACCACAAGGCCAATTTATTTTCAATTCTATCAACAACTCCTTCGGAGCAATAATACATATCCTTCAAAAATATAGAAAGTAAAATTTTAGAAAATATTATAATAAAATTTATGTAAAATAAAAAAAGGATAATAATTTTACCTTGGATAATGTATTTTTGTTCTCTATTATGGTGCTGAGAGTCACTTGATTTGCCAAATTCATTCTTTGAACCATTGCTAATTGTTGGATTTTAATCCGATTTTGATTTCTATCCAAGCTATTTTTGTAATATAAAAATAAATGTATATTAGAAATTTATGAATTGATATTTGAACATACGAAAAAAATGGTATTTTATTAATAGTCTAATATTATTACCAATTTTTCAAAAGGTCTGCTTGTTGGGATTTGGATCTATCTGTATCACGGATGCTGCAGTAGTTTGAACTTGAATTTCACCTAAAATTAATAACAAAAAAATAAGATATTATTTCATATTAGTAATAATTATATATTTAATAGGATTATGTTTAATAATTTAAAAAATATTTAATTATTACCAAGGTATAATTTAGGAGTGACTTGAGAAATTTTTAATAAAACAACGTTTTAATTATTACCAAGGTATACTCAACAATGTCTATATTACTTACACATAATTATGTAAATCTATACTTATATTAAAAGGAAACCTATTTACTAAATGTAGTAGGTAGAAAAGTCACCTTTAATTAATGAACTTCTAATTTTATCAAGTAGTAATTAATGCATTTATAATTTTAATCAAGTTTCCTATTTTACATATTATTTTTAATCCTTCTTATCTTGACATAAAAAAATCCCATAAAATGGGGTGAGCAAAAACAATCAAAATTCTGTTTCTAAAAACTACAAATCAATATTACGATTTTGAATAATACACTAACAAATTATAATATATTTTTATAAAATTTATAAAAAACTATTAAAAAAACTTGGTTCGTATATTTGTATGGATATTTATATTTTTTTAATATTATCTTTGTGTTAAAAAAAACTATTTAACACTATTCTTTTTTATTATATAATAAAATAATAATTAAATATTATATGATGAACAAGAATAAATAAAACTGTTACTTTTTTTTATATCAAGGGATAAATTTATATACTGAAATTAAAGTTTTATTAGTATAAATATTTTAGTGAGATAATATATTAATTATTTTACAAGCTAGCCCTAACATACTCATATTTAAGTTCTGGCTAAAAAATAATGCTGGTTAAATGATATGAAAAAAACTTATAACCTTATTATTTTTTAGACTTAACGTTGATCAAAAGAAGTAGAAAATAGATAATAACACTATTACTTTTAAGATTTAAACGGACAAGGCTGTTAAAATAACTCATTTAATATCTATGTTCCGTGCATCGCACGGGGTACGTACTAGTTGACTTAAACAATATTTCATTGGTCTTCCTTCTCATTTAATATAAACATAAAAATTTTAATAATTAAAAATAGTTGTGTTAGATTTTAATGTAAAAGAGTAATTTATAAAATATATATTAAACCTTAAAGTTTACGATTTTTTTTTTATAAACATGCTAATAATTTATTATTGTGTATAGTATATATGTTAATAAACTTAAAAAATTATGGAATTTGGTTTTTTAATATACAGAATTTTTGGTTATGTTGTGATTACATGTATTATATTTGGAATTAAAGGCAATGTAGTTAAGAAAATAGAAACATACCTTCTTGCTCTCGAGAGAGAACATCAGATGCTGACGTAACACTTGATGGTAAGAGTTCACTATAAACATTTGATTGCCTCCCTATAAAGAATTAAGTTAAATGAAAATGAGAATTTGAATAATTTTTTTAAAAATAAAATAAAATAAAATGAGTTAAATTAGTTCAATTATAATAAATATAGAAATATTATATTTACCTCTTTTTTTGATAGGGGACGTTGTAGTTGCAAGTTTGTTAATGTTTTGATGCCATCCTATCTCGCCTCTTGGAAAAAGAAGAGGATATTGTAAAGGATCGTAACATCCATAAAAATGTTTTATCCTATGGCGATGACCGGAGTGGGCATGGATAACAATGTCATGTTCAAACGGTAGGTTGACATTATTTCCTTCAATCCATATAGCCGCAACGTGATCCGCAGTTGGACAATTGTAAACCCGTTGATCGAGTTTTGTATCTTTGGAGATATGGATTTGAACATCATCCATTGAAGGATAGTCCTTCAACCTTCTAAATATTTTTGCATATGGGTTAAGGTCTAAAACCTTCATGAGTTTAGCTACAGTGGCTTCGTTTAAACTGCAATTTTCAAAAATATTCGTCCTGTTTTTTATCTCATTTTTTGTCTCAACGAAATATAATTAAAAATAGGCAGGACTTCCTTCCTTGGGTATTAATCCGGGAAGATCATGATAAACCATTCATTGTGCTCGGAAGGTATATACTCCTCGGCGTGAAGACGCAAGTTCTTTATCAAGTTTAACTCCAAATGAGGTAAAGGAAAAATATACAATTAAAAGGACGAATATTTGATCGAAAATTAGTAGCTTCTTCGGTTTGAGAAGTAAACAACTGATATAACTCGTCAGGAAGTTGAATGAGAGCCAACTTAATTTTTCCGTTATCGCAACAAAAAGTTGGAGGTTCATACTCAAATCTAACAGCATCACAATGGACACAGTTAAGCATATTCTTTACTCTATGAATATCAGAACATACTGCTGCAATTTGTTTGAACCTAAAGAAAACGTAAATAAATTACATATATATTGAACTAAGTTAAATTAATGAAGTAATGTTAATTAGTTTTCCATAGGAATATTATTAATACTTTGTGATTGGCATTGAATTTGATATTTGATCAAAAGACAAGAAATTTGGGAAATTTGTTTCTTCTTACGTTTCTTCACTGCATCAATGTATTCTTGTCTTTCTGTAACATTAAGATTATCAAATTTTCTCTTCATCCTCTCACGGTTCCTTTTTTATGTATACATATGAAACTGTATATTACAAAAATACAAGTAATTAAATGAGACCATAATTGGTAAAATTAATAAAATTAAAGTAAAGTAAAATTTATAAAGGTAAAAAAGATACCTGATGATGATATATTTGAGGTTGATGGTGTTTGTTGCGTTTTCATAGGTAATGAGTTTTTAAATAGTCTGTAAATAAACAATAAGAAGGGCGTTCATTTTCATCATTCATGAATTTATAAATAAGTATTTTAAAAAAAAAAATTCCTTAAATAATATAAAATATATAATTTTGATATAAGCATAAATCATATGGGACAAAAAATTTCATTTATTTATTTAGTAAATAAAATATGATAAACTATATTATAATACACTATATAGTTAAAAAAGAAGCAAAGTGGGGATTTCATCCAACAAATTAGAACCCAATAAAAAATAAAGAGAAAATTTCAGATAATTCAAAGATAAAAAGAGAAACATATCAATAATCATGAATCTTAATAGGCAAAAATTTAACATAATTTTATTTAGATAAAAAATTAAAAATTTAGAAGAGGCAGAAATTGCCACATTAATCAAAAGGGAAAAAATTTTGTAAGCAACCAAATACACATAGTTTAGACACAAAATTTATCTAAGTTTTTTGAAAAAAATAAAAATAATAATAATTCTTCTTTTCAGAAGATATAGACATGAATAAGAACGAAAATGATTTTGTCACCAACTAAAAATCTATGATTGTCGAATTATTAATAACTACAAAGATTAATGTTTCACCATAAAAATATATGTTAAAATAAAAAAAAAAATGATTTAACCTATGTCTTACAGGTGTTGGAAAAAATGTTCCCTCTATAGCAAATGTTCAGCGGGGTCGATTGTTTCCGAAAATTAAAATGGTGTTCGGGGTGATGCAGGGCCGAACGTTTCCAAAAAATAAAATGGTGTTCGGGATGATAAATTAGTGAGTATATATTGATTGATAATAATGGATGAATAGATGGATAACCAAAGATCATGAATGCTGAAAGGTTTTGGAAGTTGAAAAGATGAAATTGGAAAGTATTATTTTGCCATTATAAACAATGAACATTTTTAATTCTTACAGAGGGTAATTTAGTCTACTTGAATTTTTGCAGAAACATTGACACATTTAGGATAGTAGAGATAGAGATAGAGATAGAGATAGAGATAGAGATAGAGATAGAGATAGAGAATAGTTGTTGTGTGAATTCTTGAGAAAGAAATGAACTTTGATTGCAAAAAAAATGGCCAAAATACCCCCTGCAAAATTTTCACACAAAAAAAAGGGAAATCTTGTTTTGTTTCAATGTGTCATGTGTTGTGAAGCTAAACATAAGGATAAATTGGAAAATGCTATTATCCCGTTACAGGATGGTTCTGTTGTCTTTTGTAGTCGTAGATATACATTTAATTTAGTAAAGTGTAGATAATTTACGCTAAAAAAATACAACGGAACCGTCCCGTAACGGAATGGTAGCATTTTCTGGATAAACTTTGGGGGCATAAACAAAATCAAGAACCATTGAAATTTAAGCCGAATCACATATATTGGCTGTGCCCAGCAAAGAAAACAGAAGGGCCAACATAAAAAAATAAAATAAAATTTAGAAAACAAGATATTGCAATGGCTGCAAACGCCATATCCCCTCCACCACTCACAACGTCATCTTCATCTGCATCATCAAAAAACCTCTTTTTTCCCAAAAAGATTCCATTTTTATCGTCTTCAAGCTCCAAACTCCAGGGAGGTAAGAAATTATGCGGCATAACGCTGGGGAAGAGAATTTTAATGGGTGCTCGGGGATTTGGTGTGGTTAGATGCATGTCATCTGGTGCACCCGCAGTTCTTCCCAAAGCCCTTTTGTTCGACTGCGACGGTGTATTGGTCGATACTGAGAAAGATGGGCATCGCATTTCTTTCAACGACACTTTCGCTGAGGTTCTTTGTTCTTACAGTTCCTTTTTTCGACCTCTGTTTTCTTTAATAAAAATATGAACTTGTCTGTTAGCTAGCTTCCAAATTTTTTCCATTGTGAAATGGGTTTGTTCTGGGTTTTGATCATTGACTGTGAAGTAGTTGTTTCTTTCTGTTTGTGAGTTTTGTCTGTCTGTTAATTTTAGTAAAGGTAGGAGATTGAGATTCTTTCAATTAACTTATGCTCTCTGCTGTTTGTTGATTTTCCTTGTGTCCAAAATCAGGTGGAGGATTGTTTTTGTTTTTGTTATTTTTCATTTTATTGTAAGGAATGAAGTGTGATATTAATAAGAAAATGAACATTAGTTCTTATAACTGAATGAATGGCCTTTCTTGAAATGGTAGTGTGTGCCCGTGTGGTGAAAGCCGAGCAGATTGATCCTATTAGCTCCTAAGTGTAATGGCTTCTGTGTATCCGTAATCTGTTTCGATTTCTAAACTTTTATCTTTAACGGGCTAAGATTAATCCTTTGGGATGGAATTTGAATGTCTTGATCTTTTGGTCGTGTAGAAAGAGCTGGGAGTCACATGGGACATTGATTTGTATGGTGAATTGCTCAAGATTGGGGGAGGAAAAGAAAGGTGCATTCACATTCACGATTTGGTGTTTTTTTCTGAATATTCTATCTCTTGGGTACATAAGAAAAAAATCGACACCATTTTCCTGAAACAAAACTTAGTTTTGTTTGTTTTGGTGGGATTTCAGGATGACGGCCTACTTTAACAAGGTGGGCTGGCCGGAAAAGGCACCAACAGGTGACCAAGAAAGAAAGGAATTCATAGCTTCACTGCACAAGCGAAAGACCGAACTTTTCATGGTACTTATCGAGAAAAAGTTGTTGCCTCTTAGACCAGGTGTGGCCAAGTAAGCTGCTGTTTTGTTCTTTGGTTAAACAAAACCATTGTATGATGTATTCATATGTGATTATCTGGTCTCAAACATTTTGTACTCAGGCGCACGTTTTTTTTAAGGACAAAAAATGAAAAATAAAAAGCACTAACAGCGTATACTTGACTAATCAACAGGCTAATAGATCAAGCTTTAGAAAGTGGGGTCAAAGTTGCTGTGTGCAGCACGTCAAATGAGAAGGCGGTATGCATCATCAGGTTCCAAGTTTTATGTTGTATCTTTATTTACACAACTTTGAGCAATTGAATGAATTTGATATCATTTTTAGTCAAGCCACATCTAATCTGTTCTCTTTGGAAGTTATACAAATAGATTTGTGTGTTTTCATTCGTTACTATTATCTCTGAAATGGCTCGATTAAACTTTCTGGAATTTGTGATTTTAAGTTGTTGATTTTGCGAACATGCCTTCATGCCTTTTTCGGTGAGCTTTCAGGTCTCGGCTGTAGTTTCTTTCTTATTAGGGCCTGAACGAGCAGAAAAGATACAGATATTTGCTGGTGATGTGGTTCCCAAGAAGAAGCCTGATCCAGTAAGCTCCTCATCCGTTTCACATGATAAATGATGCACAAGATCACAAGAAAAAGGAAAGTGATAGCTTAGCTTGGGGCTTAAACAAACTAATTTTATACCGATTTAAAGTTTTCAACTCTACTTTTTGTTTATGTGAGATTTACGCTAATCAGAATCTCCTCTTTCTCATTTGACTTCTAAAGCAAACGCTTTTACAACTTATACACCAGTCTCTTTTAATTAACAGCTCACTTCATATGTTCTCGAAAGTTATTTGGATTCATCAACTTATGATTTTCATTTCAGGCTATTTATCTGTTAGCTGCAGAAACACTTGGAGTCAATCCATCAAGGTAGCTAACAGACTTATCATGAGTACAACATGATATTTTTTTACGATTTTATGCAAAACCTTTATGCAACCTATTTTACTGAGTATGCAAAACCTTTCAGTTGGTTAATTTTTTGTTTGTTTTTTTCTTTTCGTTTTTGCTTTCTAGTTGTGTTGTTGTAGAAGACAGTGCAATTGGCTTAGCGGCTGCAAAATCTGCAGGCATGAAGTGTATAGTAACAAAGAGTGGGTAAGCATATATACATATATATATACCTCCCGGCATCTGATTAGGAATTTCTTTTGTGTGGCCAATGAAATCGGTTGAAGCCCTAAAATTCACCTAGAAATTATTCATCTTGCTTAATATAATCATTACAGTTCACTCAAAATATAGAAATACTTTCTGAGTATCCTTAAAAAATTTGTTTCTGTTTTACAAAATGCACCTCAGGTACACGGGAGATGAGGATTTTGTAAACGCGGATGCAGTTTTCGACTGCATTGGAGACCCGCATGAAGAAAGGTTCGACTTGGCTTTCTGTGGGAACCTTCTAGAGAAACAATTTGTTAGTTAAATGTGTTAAACACTTGAACAAAACAAAACACCACATTATTCAAGAGGTCTTTTTTCACTCTCATAATACATAAATATGCTTTATTTCACATGTATTATAGAGCACGAATTTGCTTGTATCTGTGAGATGAACAGATTATATCTTACTCTTCAAAGGGTTCTCTATTTGAAAGTGGTAAGTAGTGTTTATCTTCGATTATAAGTTGATTTGCATGTATAATATTCATATGTGCTCATGAGAATGAAAAAAAATGGGACAACTTCTTGCAGGTTTGTGATTAATATATATCATATATATACCATTAAATTTTAAAACATTAATGGAAAATAGTATACAATATGCGTTAATTAATTAAAAAAAAAATAGGTGAAGTCTGACCAAGAAAATTGATAGCACATGGACCACCTTGAGTAATCGTATAACAATTGCGTCGACATAATTAAATGTGGAACTTAATAACATGGATAGACATAAATTAGTCTTTCCAAATTCCAATTAATACGAAAAACAGACAACTCAAAAANAAAAAAAAAAAAAAAAAAAAATGAAATAATTTAACCATTAGCCGATTGACACGTTAAATTATTTGAAAGAAAAATTGCATAATTATATTATTACTAGTACAACACCCGTGTATTACACGGGTGTTTGTTAAAAAATTATTCTTAAATTTTAAAATTAATGAGAAAACTAAATTAAATTTAGTTACAAAAAAAATATTACTATATATTTTAGAATGAGATATGTTACTTATGACTTACATGTGTTATATTATATTAGTTGTTATAACTTATATCATATAACGACTTGAAATATAAATATATTAGTTGATAAATAATTTTATTTTTCTAATTAATATTAAAAATAATTTTATTATTGTTATAAAGATAAATATAAATTATTTTTTTTTATACATACAATATGGATGTTAAATCGAAACTCATCAAAAGAAGATTCATTTGATATATTACATATGTAAAACTGATAAAAAATACAAAAGTTATTAACTTTTAAAATATATATACAATTCAATAGTTATAATAAGGAATGATATTAAAATACAATTAATACATTAACATGACCATAAATAATCAACATATTTATGGTAATCCGAACCTAATTATTTTTGGTTTGGAATTAAATTAAAATTTATCCAAGTCTAATAACGAAGCATGTAATTTTGCCACATAAGATTCCGAAGCACCAGAAGCAGCCACATAAGCTCAGCACATTCTGTATTAATATATAGGGGGATAGGGGGATATGTCATATTTAAAGAATGAAAGTATGCACATTTTTATATAAAGATTATGTCGCCTAACCACTTAAAATAAATAAGATAAATTAAACATTTGCATTGATTAAAATTCTTCACAAATTAACATGAAATGTAATACTAGTCTAAAACACAACCAACCAAACTATATTAAAATGTGGACCTAATCCTAATGTACCAATTATAAGCATTATAATGTTTTGCTGTCAGGTCAGAATTGTCATCCCTTCGTGGGCAATGTAGTGGTCCCTTGGAGCAATTTATTTAATAATATTCCATATGTCCCTTGGAGCAATATATAATAATATTTCTTGTGACATTTTTCTTTTCGATATTCTGATTTATTGAAATCATTTTGAAATTAGGACTTTCTTCTTTAATTTTATTTAGTGTAATTTATCTAGCTTTGAGTTTCTTCATGAATCGGCTTGTATATTCAAAATTGTTAAATGAAATAAGTCCCTCATACACTCTATTTAGCTCGTTTGATAAATAAGTTAAATTTGAGCTCGTTAAAACTCAAAAGCATAATTTCTTTATTTATTCTTTTTTTTTTTTAACTTTACTTAATAAATTTCGAGCTCGATTCGTTAAGTCTACGATGCGATTCGTTAGTAATAATAAACACTAACTGAACTCTGACTCATTTATATCTCTATTCAAATATAAGTAATAATAAACACTAACTGAACTCTGAGCTCGATTTGTTAACCCTTTCGTTTCCGGAAAACCACCTCTGTATCTAACCCGAACCCGTCGATCCCCCGGAGCTCCACCAGCTCCGATTTACTGAACAGCTTCTCCAATGGCGTCACGCTGTATAGATCGTTGGCCGAGTACTTGTCTGCCCTCTTCGACACCAGTACGTGGAGCACGCAGATCCCGCCGGGCCTCAGCGTCCGCTCGATCTCCCCGACGAACTTCCGCGGGTACAGCGCGTGGTCGAACACGTTCGAGAATTCGAAGTCGAATGTCCCGTCGGCGAACGGCTGGCGGTGGAAATCGCCCTTGAGGACGAGCGGCGGGTAGGGTACCAGGTCGATTCCCACCGAATCGGACACCCCGACCCGCTTCAGCGCAGCGACCTCCTGCCCCACCCGCGCCCCGATGCAGAGCGATTTGGAGGCGTTGGCGAGGAAGGAGCGGCGTTTGAGGCTGTCGAAGAATGCAGAGAAGACGGCGACCTTGCGGTCCCAGTCGCGGGTGGTCCAGATCCGGCGGAGCTTCGGGTCGAGCGTCTTGTTGAGCTGGCGCTGGAGGTAGGCGTCGTAGGAGGTGTATCCGGGACGGATCTTGAGATCCGACGGGAGGTCGTCTGGCGCGGCGGAGGCGGAGGGTTTGGGCGTGGTTTGGAGGGAGAGGAAGGCGAGGAAGGAGAGGGATGAGAGGAAGACGAAGAGGAGAAAGGGTTTGAGGATAAGGGGAGGAAGGTTTTGGAGATCGGTTTTCATGGCGACGGCATTTAGCGGTGGATTTTGGGGGAAACTTTTGTGGTTGGGTTTGTGTTGCTGTTGCTTGCGAGGAAATCAATGGGGGAAATGAGTGTGTGAGCTTCTTGGTTGTGTAGCTTTGTGTGTGGGAGTGGGAGAGTATTCCCAAAATTCTTCTTAAAGCGTGTTTGGGAAAA